CTTTTGAATCCCAAAGATACAGTAAAACAATGATTGTGACGATTGAAGATTACACGAGGCTTCACTCCACATAACGACGGGATGTGGTCAGCTGCGGAAATCCACATGAGTGTCGAGTAGCATGAACAAATGCGAGCGGGAGCACACGCGTCAGTTTATTCCCTTGTCACAAACACTACCCACCTAAACGTCCAACACCGCCACGACCCGGCGTTCTCCATGCTCTGAGTTGCTGCTAGCCTGAGTTTTTGATTCATCAGGTTCATTCTTTCGACTTCGTCCTCTCTCTTTTATGGTTTCTTCGATTTCCATTCGCTAGAATACCCGCAATAAGCCCGTGGAGCGTCCCCCTCTTATAGAAAAAGAAAACATGACTTATAGAAAAAGAAAACATGACTGGAGGATTTTCGGCAGTCAATAGTAACGGAGTAATTCTCATTGCATTTCGAAACCAGTGATCACAGGCTTGTCTAGAGCGGTGATGGGGTTCTGCTTAGTTTCCAAGAAACAATGCTTTGGTGCTAGAATTACCTCAAAACTAGGCTTTAGGTTGCAATACAAGTGAGATGGGCACGCTGCATTTTTTTTGAATACGGTAGGCGCGAAAGCATGTACGTCTGGGCTGCTGCCTGCTACTATGGTGTTACGAGGATGGGGGAGGGGAATTCGTGAGCGAGGGGGGGTGTAGCCGATACAGGGGGTATAGGGTGAGGGAAGTCACTTAAGATGCGCGAAAAGCTGGAATGTGTGAATTTCTTCATAGCGTCTCATCGTGTCATTTCAGCAGGCACCTATTGCGGAGCGCGATATCGTACTTCAGGAATTTCTTATGTTTACATGATATTTTTCGATTTTGCGGCAGCGAACAGTGCTATGTGAAATGGTATTATGTTTGCGAGGGCAGCGAATCATGCTATGCGAAAAAATGTTGCAATGCAACTGCGAGAGGAGAAATGAAATGATCAGATAACACTGACACGAAGCCTCGCCTATATAACGGCCATAAAAAACATAGGCCTCGCTTTTTTGCATCTTGAGTTTCTCTCGTTTCTTGAGCATTTCGCTAGTTTTCCATCATCGTTTTTCCTATCGCTGAGAAGGAAGATTGGGACTCTCCTATCGATAAGGAGCTGATTGGGTAATAGTTAGTCGGTTGGTTGATTCTATTTCGATGTTCCGCTGGAATTCCTACTATATTCCATCAGAACAAAGCCAATAAATCGTGGGATATTATTGTGACTGTGTATAACCGCGTGGCAAATTTATGGTGCATCGGCCGGGAATCGAACTCGTGCGGCTCGCGTGGCAGAGGAGCATTCTACCACTGGGCTCCCTACCGGGTTCTAAAAATGCGGCGTGCCCATCCCACT